GTATATACTTTTCGTCAAAATGACAAAATACTAATTAAATTTATTTTGACAGACGTAATGTATTTTGACAGATGTAATTAATTCATAGTAATTTTATAATAAATAGTGAATTGGTCCGTTCGCTGAAATATGACGTAATTAATTAGCGGAGAAGTATAGGTCTGTAACAAACCGTTTTATTCAATAAATTTTTTTTTGGCCTTTACTGTTATATTTTTTTAACAACAGGCCATTTTATTAAAAAAAAATATTCGGTTTAGAATGTTATTAATATTCCTTTTTTATTATTTTTCTTTAAAAGCAACTTCTTAAATCTAAAATTTATTATTTTAGATACCAATATCTTGGAAAAATATGAGTTAAGAGAAAAGTATAGTCAATTTTTTTTGGGAATATTACCACACTAATATTCCTTTTACTTTTTTCTTAGAAACTTGGAATTCAGACTGGAACTCCAATGCTCACTGTAAGTAAAGACTTTTTTAGCTTTATTTTGTTTATTTTAGAAGTATTATTAATATTTCTATTGTTTTTTCTATTAGAAATAGTTTTTAGATTAAAACTAAACTGAAATTTTTAGTAAGTTGAGAATAGGGTGGAATTTTTTTTGTTTTATATGTGAAGTAGTATTAATATTTTTTTTCTTTAGAAATAGAATCTTCTTTTAGAAATGATTTTATAAATTATATTCTAAGTTTTTGTTATAATTTATAAAAAAATAATGAACAATCTTTTTGTTTTAGTGTTAATACTTGAATTATCAAATAATTAAATATAGTAGTATAAATAAATACGTCAGTATAAATTAATTTATGCAATTTGGCATTATGCTAGCAATTGAAAATCAATTATACTGGAAGTATATTCTAAATACAACTAATTAAATTAAAAAAAAAGCCATGATTTCATTTTTTTAATATACAAATGTCATAAAAAAAATTTGCTTATTCTAATATAAATTATAAAGTCAGAAGTCAACTTTGCATATTGATCTTGGTAAAAACATTTGCTTATTTTAAGGTAAAATTTTGCCAATTATCTCTGACTTTTATATGTATTTTTCGGGGTCCTACTATTTTATATCAATTAAACTTTGCTGTATTATCTTGTATAATTACATCATAATATTTAGACTAAAGTTCATTATACTGCTAACTAGTCATTCAAAAAAGACTAGTAAATTCATTGGTTAGTCCTTTTAATCATAAAATAATAATTTGGATCTTCTTCATATAACTTTATAAAATATGAAAGTATTACAACTACATCAGATTCATTATGAACTTGAATATTTTAAAATTTTTGGATTGTATAGTCAACTTTCTTTATAGTCATACATTTGGAACAATTCATATTTGATAATTCAGTCTGGGATTTTACCATAAATAGAATCATTTTTAAGCATTTTGATTGGTAGCAATCTTACCATTTTTGTATATGCCGATCAAAGAATGTTGATCAGAATATTCTATATTTTATTGATTAATTTTAGCATCGTATATTCGATACTTTAATCGTTTGAAATAATAAAACTTAGATAATTTTATTATTTTTTTCTAATTTATTTCTGGATTTGAAAAATATATTTTTTTTGCCTAAACTACATCTATATTATCTAATTCATATATTTTGCAAATTTCGTACCTCTTGTAATATGGTTAGCAATTTACTTTTCTTTTTAGATCCTATTCCATTCACTCATTTGTTCTAAAAGAGATTCTACTTTATGCAAAATCTCTATTTGTGTCATTTGGATTTATCTGCCTGCACCATTGCTTCTTATTGAGTTATTGGAATAGGCCGAAATGAAGGAACTGAACTTTTTTGTAAAACACTTCAATAAATCAATAATATATTCTTGTTTGCCTTTTTTGCCAAATTACTAAAATTTTTCAACTGGTCACTCAATTTACTATCTTCACCTATATTTTTAAAATCTGTTTTTGTCTTCATTAGATTAAGAAAATTAAGCTTTCTTAAATAAACCCAAAATCTTTGACATTCTGTAATTGATTTAGGATGAGTTCTTGAAGAATTTGTTTGAATGTCATTATATCTAATTATTTTAAAGAAATAATTTAATTATAATGTTTTTCACATAAAGAATATGATTTTAAAGATGTTTGAAGGTATAAGTTCTGGAATAAAAGTATAATGAAGAAGGAGACAGCTAAATACTACTTTAGTATACGCATGTTGCCATACTTGTAATGGTTTTGTCTCATATATTCTCAAACCTTTTTACTCATATGTGATTACTAAATTGTGAAAAGACAAAGCAGCTCTTTATCATATGCCTTTTTGCATGTTGTCACTACAATAAAATTAAGAAAAAAGTTAAAATAAAAATAAAAAAAAAATGGCAATGAAACTCAAAAAAAATTCATTTAAATTGAAAATATGTCATTTTATAGTCATTTTATGGTCTTCATACTTTTTTGAAAGAGAGTTAATTATGAAAAAATATTCACTGATTATGAAAATACATACTTTTTATGACATATTTTTATAATTACGTTTTGCAGTTTCAAAGAATATATTGTGAGAAATTTTTTCATCAAATCACGTTAATATGATAAAATTAAATGTTGGTGTAATTGCCGATCATTCTAAAATCATTCCAGAACGTGATCTATTACACAATCCAATTTTGAAAATATCCCGAACTGTAATTATAAAGAGATGAGATTATATAAAAAATTTCTTATATTTGTATATTATAATTCTGGCCAAAAATTAATATAATTTTAATCAGAATTATGCTTAAAACTTATTGTATCATAACACCGCCAATATTAATCATAAAGAGATAATCTTACTGCCATTCAATTTGTCTTGATGAGACGGTTCTAATGGTATAAAATATATTAAAATCCAATCACTAGATTAATTTCTGAAATTAAAAAATATTAATGGTTTTGTGTAATAATTCTGCCAATATTAATCTTATAGAGACAATCTTACTACCATTCAATTCGTCTTGATAAGATGAATCTGATGGTATAAAATTTATCATCAAAATCCAATCACTAAATAAATTTCTGAAATTAAAAAATATTAAATAGTTTTTAAGTAATAACTCTGTCAATATTAATCACAGAGAGATGAGCTTACCACCATTCGATTCATCTTGATGAGGCAATTCTAACGAGCTATTAATCATCTTTTTACAATCACTAGGTACCAAGAAATTTAGCAAAATGTTAAATGGTGCAGTAAACGTAAATCAAGAAATATGATAATGCTGATGTTAAACATTTTGTTAAATAACTTATCAGCCAATGATTGTAAAAGGATAAAACTACCACCATTCGATTTGTCTCAGTGAGATGATTCTAACAAGCTATGGTACATCTTTGTACGATCATTAGATGCCAAGTTATTTAATATATTTTTTATATAACTGTGATTATACTAAATGGTTCTTTTTAATATAAGATTTTTGAGAATAGATGTGATAGTGACTATAGATAGATTGTGACTATATAGGATAGATTTTAATAATACAGTGACACCTCTCTAAATGCACCCTCCTTGGGACCATAGTAAAAAAATAGTAGAATTTGCACTTAAAGAGGGTGTGCATTTATAGAGAGTAAAATATTAAGAGCTCTTATAAGTTAGGACCAGGTCCACCGTGCACTTAAAGAGAATTTATATAGTGCGTGCATTTATAGAGGGTGCACTTATAGAGGTGTCACTGTAAAGTGTTTTGAACATTCAACTGGTATGACTATATAGTAGAATGTAACTATAACAGGAGTGACTATAGAGGGAGTTGACTGTATTATCATCAATAGGTAAACTGTTAATTTTGTTTGATATATCTAAAAGTATTCCATTCTATCTGCATTTTCTAATATAGTCTGACTTCAACTACAAATTTTTAATGGTATTTTATTTAGGTCATATGGACATATTCTTGGAATAGATTTATTAGTCTATTATAAATCAAATTAACATATGTTTTAAAATTAGTATATGGTCTAAATTATCAGTTTATTTTAATAATATCTTAAAACTGAATAATTGATACTTTTCTTATATAATTAATTATGCTAATTTAGGACATATGTTGATTTGGTTATAATAAATCTAACTAATTAATGATTCAGGTAAGAGGTGTGTCAATAATATATTAAATTATTAAGTCTAACCAATTGTCTCATATGGAAGGGTATATCAAATTCCAAAAATGCGCCCATATGTTAAAGTTTTTCTAAAAAAAAACTTTTATCTAAAATTTGACTAGTAATCCAAACAGGATGGTTACAACTTACAAAATCAAAAATTGATATAAAAATTGAATAGATAGATTTGAAATAGATTAAAGTGTAAATATTAAATAGAAAAAAAAGAAAGTAATATGGCTTTATATGCTAGAAAATATAGAGATTTCATGGGTAAATATTAAATTATCATATCATAATAATAACAACAATATAAAACAATATGAAATTGATATATAAAATTTATCATGTATAATAAACATTATATGTTAAATAAAAAAATTATAAAATAAACAAATGATTATATAATCTTAAATGTAGCTAGTGATGATTACTGCAAGTGATACATAGTATTTTTCTTATTTTTATATTTTCATTTCTCTTTATTTTCATTTCTTTTTCTTACAATTTTCCCCTTTTTAATTTCTCTTTTTTTTTTGTTTTTGTTTATTTCTTTTTTGTTCTCCCTTTTATTTTCTTTTATTTTCTTTTATTTTATCTTTGTTTTCTATAATTTTTTGTCTTATTTTATCATTTATACTATTATTATTACTAGTTATCCCTTAAACTGTTTTGCAGCCAAATTTGCCTGCAATTTTGTTTTTTAATTAAAGACACTTTTAAATACCTTAAAATATTTTATTATATAAACCAATATTTTTATAATAAATTCTATAGTATTTTCTAAGTAAAATTGAAAAAAAAGTTCAATTTGATTAATGATTTTTTAAAAGTAAATGATTGACAAATTATAACAAATAGTAGCTAAATTTTTTAAATTGAAATATCTTTTTATCCATTAACCCTAGAAATATAAAATTACCACCATTTGATGCGTCTTAATGAGAAGAATCTGATAGAAATAAAATTATCCTTCTACAAATATTATATGACAGGATAACTTATAAAATCTAAAAATTTATAGATTAATATAACTTTTTATTTATCAATTTTAGAGTTATGATTTTATTACCATTAAATGCGCCTTAATAAGAGGAATCTAACAAATATAATTTCATCTTTCTATGATCACTAGATCTTAAGATATTTTAAAAATTCTAAAATTTTTAAAATTAATTTTAGCCCTTACAGTTTAAGGAATAATATAATATTTTTTTTAACTATTAAAGTTAAAAAAATTAGTAAATTAAAAAAAAATATTTATCATATAATAGGAATGAGTAATAATATTTTTTATCTGGAATAAAGCTCATATTAAAATTAGGAAATAAATTATTATTATTAAACTTTTTTTATTAAAATAAATAAATTTGTTATTATTAGTAATATAATAATAAAGAAGCAAATAGCTAAGATTAAATAATTAAAAGTTACTAGAATTATAAATAAAATTAAAAAATTTAAAAATTTTAAATACTATATTTTTTTCAATATTAAATACCAAAGAAATCATATTGTTAATTTTATAAATTACTAATAAATACAGTGTTTGACAAATGACTTGAAATGATCAAATGATTCAAATGACAAATGACCTTGGTCATTTGAATGTAATTTTGGCCAGCATTATGATTTTTGCCTACACTACATTCATTATTTTTTAATTATAGTCACATGATTATTTATGTGATAAATATTAGCCAATCAAAATCAAATGATTGAGATAATATTGACAAATTGATTTGGTCATTTCCGAACAATGTTAATAAAATACAATCCTTTTTTAAATTATTCAAAAGGAATAAGCCAAAACATTTTATATTCTTGAGAATAATTATTAAATTCATTTAACATCCAATTATTATTAATCTAAAAAAAAGAATTTAGTTAAAAATAAAATACATTATAAATGTAAAATCAACTATGATTCAAACATACCCAAATAACTTTCATTTTACCAAATTTATTGGCAATATCAAAAAATGCAGATTCACCTAAACCACGATCTTTATAAATTCCCAATACCAAAGTTTTTCTTTTCCCTTTCTTTTCTTTAAAATTATCAGTAATGGGACAACTAAAATATTTTATCATTTTAATTAGTGGTTTATAAAAATGAGGTAAATAAAATATTTCAGATGCTAGAATAATATCAAATGGAAATAAATGTGGAAAATCTTGTGGTAATTCTTCCCTATTTATCAAAAAAGAGACATTAAAATTAAAAAAATTAATCATTTCTATTATGAAAAAATAATTATTACATACCAATTTAACGGATATACAGCAATATTTTCGCTGCGTAAATTAATTTCTAATTTTTCGTGTTTAACTTTTAAATCACTTTCATTTTTCAGATTAGATTCTAATTTAAATCGTTCTTTTTGTTGATTTAATATTGATTTAACATTTGACTCGATATTTAATTTTGTATGTTCAAATTCTTCACCAGGTAACTCACTACATACAACATATCCGCCTAAGTATTAACGGAAGAAAATATATGTTAAAATTTTTTAGAAAAATATAAATATTCTTTTTTTTTAGCTATAAATTACCCAAAATCCAAGCAGATAGTCCAACAAGACCACACCCTGAACCCAATTCTAAAAATCGTATCTTCTGTGGCGCAGTATCGTTAAACTCGAGAATATTTTCTCGAAAGGTAAAGTCATTAAGTAGATGATATAAAATATATTTACTTAGTACATATGCCTTTGAATTATGTATATATTATATATTTTATGATAAATAAATAATAAGTAAATAAGTAAAAATTAGAAATCAAAGAAATTAAATTGACTTACACCATCCCATACTAAATTTCCAGTATTTTGTGTAATCTTGACAATTTTATCTAATTTTTGATGTATTCGAACTGTAAGAATTAAAAATGAATGACAAGTTAGAGTAATGAAAATAAATAAAATATGATTTTTGTTTTTATTTATTTACGTGTATATCCATTTAATAAAAAAATTCTTTCAGGGTCATGTTTGTAATTCGCATAAGGATTATCATATTTCCAAAGTACAATTTCTGTTGAAGTGTTCTTAGTGGAAGTAGAACTGGACAAATGTTGCGGATGAGAAATATCGGACATTTTTCGAAGAAAGGAAAAAAAAATTTTCAGTTTTTTCAGCCACTGTACTTGATTATATATTGAATAATATTTTGATGAGCTGATTTAACTAGTCTATAATGCAATTTCTTTTTTCATAATTTCTACTGAAATTTTTGTTAGTCTTTGGAACGGATTTTTAGTTACTGTGTAATTAAGTTCTACTACTTTTGAAATGTCATACATGTGACTGCATCATTATTGACGTAATACATATTCTTCATATAAAATTGTCTTTTTTTTTTGTACAATCTAAAAGTATAACGTCGGTTGCGTTCAAAAGATTCCAAGAAACATATTTTTGATTGAACAAAGTTGAAATTATCCTTTACTGGAAGCCCCGATTTTAGATCAATCCAGAAAAGTCCATTCCATGGTATGATCGTTGAAGATCGCCAAATCACATGAAATGCAATCTTTCTGTATTATCGGAAAATCTCCGGAAACTAGAACCAGTTCAGTAAATTTATAAATTTTTTTTTAGTATTTCCTTTGCTCAATCGATGTTTCTTGAATAACTAACTTCTATCATAATAATTATTGCATTAATCGGAATGGATTCAATCATTACGTATAAGCATGTGAAGGTGCATATTAATTTTATTGGCTTCGAGTATCGATAAACCGTCCACAGATCGCCTACATTGCTGTGAAACCCGGTCAACCCAGCCAAAAGTGGGGTACATCATTCTTGTATAGTCAAATTTTTGGTGACATCACCAAAGCTTCCATATTAAGTTTGTTAGTTTATTCTCTGTGTAATATATATTGTACATCTCAGCCATTCTTGGTTTTTAATCACCTTTTTCAGTATTTTTTTTTCGTAGACTATAACAAAAAACTATGGTAAATTCTGCCAAAAGAACTGTAAAAAAAAGTTGATAAAATCCACTGTTAAAAGTTGTCGAAATAGATAATAATAAAATCGGTAATAATATCAACCTAATTATTGAACCTCAACGAGACAAAACGACAGCATCTAAGAAATATGACAACACGTAGTTCAAAAGGAGGAGGCCGTGGTAAACGTTCAACTAACACGCCTGTTCGTTCATCACCTCGAATTGTACGAAGATCTTCGTCTTATCCAAACTCTGTAAACCGCCACTTTGTCAACGGAATCCCCATCTTGGAAATTACACTCAGATTCGACGAAGACGAATATGATGTTTGGCGAAGACAAGATACTGATGAAGTAAATCTTCATTATTTGTTACGTATCAAATATCCTCGAGACGAAGACGAGCAAGCTTGGCATGATGAGCTAGAAAGACTTAAGAAAGAAGTGAGCGATGTCAGAATTATTGAAGAAGGCTGGTTTGAAGGTGTTTGGTAATTATTTACTTATTTATTTATTTATTTCTTTTTTTATCTTTTTTTTATTTTCATTTCAAGTTTATCATTAACTTATTTATTAATAACTTAACAAACCTAATAAACAGGGTTCCACTTGAAAAAGGTACAACATTTTATTAGTGCAATTTTAATTATGAAAATCTCTAGCCTCATCATTAATTCATTATATCATAATTTATTGTGTATTATACATAATTCGATGAAATTTTAGCAAAAGATATTGCCCATAGATATAATATTTATGAACATGTTGCTGCTCTGCTGGATTCAGAAAATAGTTGGTTTGATACACCAAAAAAGCAAAGTGCAAAAGTCAAGGTATGTTAATTTTTTTGAAATTATTCAGATTCATCAATGACTTCGATAAGTATATGAGAGATTATTAAAAGAAGGTACTTTAAATATGATGGATTTAATTTAGAGCGAACGTGCAATGAATCAAATGAATTCAATGTTAAATTCTATGCCCGAAATGTCGGCAGAAACCACAAACGGTACTTCTAATAGTACTCGTTCAATGAATTATGGTATACCAAATGGAACTGTCAAGTCGGATAACGAGAGCAAGTCTAGTAAAAGACGAACATCTGAAAGAATTAAAGCTAAATCTCAGTCCAGTCAAGAACCATCACCATCTGCCACATCAACGAAACGTCTCAGAGAAATTGAGAATGAGCGGGATGTGAAAGAAGAAGTTCAAAATCTCAAGCGCAAATTGGATGAAACAGAAGAATACTTGAACTATGACGTAAATAGTAATAAGAGACGTGCTATTTGGGCAGGAATTGGTGCAGCCGTAGGTGCAGGAATTACAGCATTAGCCCTTCATAATATGGGTATAGGATTGTCTGATATAGCATCCGGGATCTCTGATTTCTCATCTAAGTTCGCAGAAATGTTTTGATTAAAAGTTTTGTCTCGATTAAAATTTATAGGCGTAAAAAAAAAAATGTTCGGTTATTCTCATTATTAATTCAAAATTTTTATAATATCTTGATATTCCGAATGTTCCTCTTCAATTGACTGATCAATATTCTTTTTTACTTCTAGATGTTAGATTTTTGAAGGAGGGAATAAATTTTTTTTACGTATTGATTATATTGAACTTATTTGCATATATCGAAGGATTGCTGTTCATAAACTAGAGATATAAAATGATGTCAAATAACAAAGTAGACATTTCATTTTGCAAATTTTGTATATTTTTTTTATATATCTTCTTTTTTTTTTGCTTATATCTCTTTTTTCTTTGATACATCAATCATATATTAATACATCATCAGTAATCTTAAAAATCATTTATTTACGTGAACGTTTTTATATACTAAAAAATTATTTAATATTCATTAATATCTTCCGTTTAACGAACAAAAATACAGTTATTATAGTAATTTTTGAAAATTTCCGATATATAATATATATATAAAATTTTTTTTTTTAAAATTACATTATTTTTTTTTTCTATTTTGGTCTGGTATCAAATTGATTTTGTAATTGATTTTGTATTATATTGGATTTTGTTGGGTATTTTCGAATATAGAATTGTTTTTTGATCAAAATATATTATTAAAAAAAAAAATAGATTTGATCAATAACTTTTTTTTGGTTTTTTTTCTGATGATGATTTTCGATGATTATACCTTGTTAAAAATTATATGCATATATAAAACATTGATTTGCTCCGGAGTTACCGCAGTAACGCATCTCCGGACTCATAAAAATTCGATAAATATACATAAAAGATAATTCAACCAGAATATTGAAAAGTAGTAATAAACTATTATTAGATTAAAACAAATAAAATCAGATTATTAATCAGTAATTACTTCAAAACCCGTCGAATATAACCAAATTGAAATTAATTTATCGTCTAATTCTTACGTTAAATTTTGTTTACGTAACGTATTGCTGAAATCCAAATTATTGAATTCTAAACCCGAAATACAAATTGTTGGATTTATTGTAATGCAAATACTTGAATTTTTTTTTCAATTCACAAACTTACATAAATTTACAGTATAAATTTTTATATCTCTTATTCAATTCATATAAATACTATTTAATGAAATTATATGATGCAATTAATATTAATATTAATATTTAGTTAATTGAAACCTTCAATATCAATATCATATTCATAAATGAAATTAAAATTTTATAAGGGGGTATTTTTTTAGATGTTGGTACTGTAAAAGTGGACATATTGCTACTACCATGTTAGAAAATCTATGAATTCAAGTAAAATTGAAAATTGACTGGAAGCAAAATAACATTTTTGTATTACTAGAATTATTTCAATTATTCAATTTCAGATAAACTTGTATTAGAAAATTAAAAAAGTTAAGGACGATATAATTAATTCGTGTAATTTCTTAATGTCGTAATGCCGGTCAAAACTACTGATTTAGACGACCCCAAAAAAGGGTAGATCTGAACTACTATTTTTTAAAAATTATTTGACTTCATATTTTTGGTTTATTTTTGAGTTAATGTCAAACCTCTATATATTCACCGATTAGTTTACAAAATGCAGAATTAAAGGTCTAAAAAAATAATATGATTTTAAAAGTGGAAATTTATTAACAATAGAAAGGTAATAACAAATTCTTGCATTATATTTGAAAACTCATAATGACTATTTTGACAAAGTAGTATATTAAGTCAAGTAATTTAGCACTTCTATACAGTAAAGTGAATAGTCATCAAAAGTTCAATAAATTGACTGATGATATTTTCCTAAATTATACTTTTGATAAGAATGATTTTGCTATGATTTGTACATTTAAAGAAGACATATTTCCTAAAAGAAGAACTGCAACTAAAGAAAATTATAAAGTGATGCGTCATATATTCACAAAAGGACATCTTACTTTTATGAAAACTGCAGCTATAAATATAAATGTAGTAGAGATAATATAATTTATGATATAAATATTATCAATTAATAGTACAAAGGCTTAGTTTTTTTTATTATAAATGCCAATTTTAAATTTCTTCTTTATCTTTGAGATAAAACTTACCTTATAACCAATTTATTATTTTATATCTGACAGTGTTTATATGTAGTTAGCTTTAGTTAAAAAAAAAATATGGTTTTAATCATTGGTTAAATTTTTAAGTTTTTTATAATGTATCATTCAGTGTATGAAATCTATTTATGAAATTTGCAAAGCACAAACTGCTTTTTGATTTTCACAAATTATATATAATTTTAGTTTATGTATAGTGCAACTTATAATTTTAAAATTTAATATTTAAAAACTTAAGATTTTGCAAATACATTATTAGTAATGTTGCTGCCTGAAACTAAAATTCAAAAATCTGAAACTTAAAAACTTTATTTTTAATGAAAAACTTGGTAAATCTGAAATTTCTTAAATTATAATTAATTTCAGAAAAGTATAAAAACGTTTAGGCAATTAAGTTTATTATAAAAAATAATTTCAAATTGAATTTTGACTAAACTAAAATTTTGAAAAAATAGTTTTAGCAAGCATCTTTAATTGTTAAATATGTAAATTAGATTTATTTTTATGCAAATTGCATATAACTTTTTATTATATATTGTACAAAAAGTATTTGACTTGAATTTTATATATTGGTGTTGCTTTTGATCTCAAAATAACAGATCAGTTTTTTCTTTTAAGAAGAACAGTATACTGATAATGTTTAAATTTATTTTATTTTATTTTATTTTACTTTTGTAATTTTTTTTTTTTTATTATTTATTTTTATTATAAGTACAGTTTTGTTATATTATAATTATACTTACTTATATATACTAAACTTATAATAATAAAAAAATAAAATACATATAAAAATTAAGTATTAATATAACTACTTCTTTAAAGAAAAAATTGACCTGTCATTTATGTGATTACATCATTATTTAAAAAATAATAATACAACCAAAATCTTTAGGTCAGTTTTAGTCAAAATCCATATTTTCTTTTTAACTAAAAGTTAAATACTGTCAGATGTAAAATATTTAACTTAAGATAAATTCTATCTAAAAAAATAATAATAATAAAAATAAAACAGAAAAATAAAGAAACTATAAAACAAAAAGTTCTATTTCTAATCTAATTAATTGCTGAATAAATCAAATTATTACTTATTATGCAACTTCATTTTTTTTTGAACTTTTTATTTTTGTTTAGTAGTCTTAATTTTCATTAATTCTTTTATTTTTTTATCATACTATTAGTTGATAATATTTATATTAAAAATTATATCATTATTCAAGTATTTCAGTTTAAGTATTTTACTTTATTAATTGGAAGACAATTCTTTGTATATAGATAGATATATTATATATTTGTAATTCACTTCTAGTCACTAGTCTTCTTTTAGAAAGTTTTTCTTATGTAATTATGTATTATATAGAAATTATTTTCATTATACATATATATGGTTGAAAATAATTTTTTTGATTTAGACTATTAAATATACAATAAATTAAGATCTTGTTAAATAAAAATACTAGATCACTTGATTTAATAAACTGTTCTTTAAATATTGATTCTTTCATTTTCAACAAATAATAAAAAAGGTGGAAGGCTATCAGTATATCACTATTACTAAGTAGTCTTCACTTTTTCATATTATTGGCTAAACTTTTAATTTATCTTTTCATAAATAAATCTATTTTCTTTGTATTAGGATTTAATCCTTCTTCTTTATATTTTGAATAGATTACTTAGTATTATATCAGCCCATTATCCTTATATTTTTTATAAGATCTTTTTCCTTTATATTATACATACCATTCAAATTATTTTGGGCTGCCGTAATTATAAGTAAAATTCCAAATTCAATTATAGTATCCCAAATTATTTTGGCATTTTATTTACATAGTAAATTATATATAAATTAAATAAATTATAGCATTTCAAATTATAATTATACATCTCAAAATAATTTGGGCAACATATATACTTTATAGTATACAAATTGTTAATACTTTTACGCTTTAAATAAATTTCTTTTTGCTTAATGCATATATCTTTATTAAATATGACTTTCATTAATAGAATCTTAAGTAAAAGTTGAATGATCTGTTTCTTACATTTTCAACAAACTTTTCTATTATTTGATAGTATAATATTACATAATTGTAAACATAAGTTACAATACATGGTAATCTAAAACTAAAATACTATATAGTATATTTAACTGAAAATCTAATATAAGTTATTATTTTGTTAATTCTAGATAATATTGAAGCTAATCATTTAACTAATGATTAATATTTTTCTAATAACAAAAATCAAAATTTATTAAAGTATTTAATTCTTATTCTCTTTAATATAGTAATACAAATATTATTGCAATCAGATATTTAAATATACGAAATTTAATGTTCATATACTTTCTATCATTGATGATATCATATGAGAGTTTATACCTTTCCATTAGTATTGAGAACGGGATAAAGATAAGAACAAGATAAGATGGAATAATAACAGAACAATCTATAGATATAAACAAAAATTTTTTAATTTCTAAAACATTGGGATATTTATATTACAGTCAAACCTTAATATAGCGAATCCTTGATATAGTGAATTTTTCAGACAACTATAATAAATTTCCCTCGCAATAATGAATTAACCAATTAAATCTCTTAAAATCTTCACTATAGTCTTATAGCGAAGTTGAAGTCTGGACCCTAGGGTTCGTTATAATAAGAGTTGACTGTACATGATATTATAATATTTATTTAATTTATTTACAATTTATAAAATTATTATTAAAAAAAAAAAATTTCTTAAAAAATGAACTTAAATTCCATTCAATTATTATAAATATATATTATATTATTTTGATTTTTATTTTCTTTAAATTCATAAGTTTCTTCTTTTAACATTTCTGATTATCCTTACAAATAATTATTAAATTCTTTTTTAAATTTTCTTTTCTTTTTTTTTTTTTTATTTAATAATTTTCTTCTTCTAACATTTCTGACCATCCTTGCAAATAATTATTAAATTTTTTTTCTAAATCTTCTTCTTTTTTTTTTTTTTCTTTAATAATTACTAGATTTTCTTCAACTTCTTTTTCATTATTATTTTTCTTTTCATTACAAGTTATAATACTTAATGGAATTAAAATTGCAGAATCAGAATTTATATGATATTTTCATATTATATCTGCGAATCTGCCTTAATTTATTCATATTAAGAACTTTTGATGACTAAAAAAAATAACATGTTAATTTAATATTTGTTTATGAATGTTGCTAATTTGCATTTGAGGTGAAATCACCTAAAGGTGATTTCACCCAAGTCACAATTAATTTATTAAATTTATTAAATTTGATTATTGTAAATTTAATATTTCTCACTTCATAATTTAAC